TTATCTTGGTTATTTTATAACAGTTTTTATTTGTTTTTGAAGTAGTGTAACTGAAGGGTACTTCATTTAACTAGAATTTTTTAAAATATACAGCACTGAAACATTAGTTCGTAATAATTATCCTTTATTTCATAAAATCCATTTTATCAAAGACTGGAAAAAAGTCTTTAGTAAATAGTTGTTTGACGATAATTGATGATATTTATTTATAGGCGTTCAGCTGTCAATAGCTTGAATTCACATAAATGCATACATACAAATCATAATGATGAATACAACACGTGTTAATGCTTCCTTTAATTCTTTTTTTTTTCAAAAGAAATATAATAAGACTTTTTAGTTTACGCTTCACTGTGCATTTATCGAATTCATCTAAGATCGCTTCTTTTTGGTTTATTTAGACTAGGCGTTCATATACACTATGCAATATTACGAACACAAAATTCTGTTTTTTTTGTTTTCAATTTGCAACTATCTAGTGTTCTTTTGTCTATTTCATACAGATTCCTAAGAGGTAAAAGATGAATATCTTTGATTCACATTGTAAAAGTAGACTTTGCTCACTCAAACTTACCTGTATGTATGACTGATATATTTGTGAGGATGAATAAAAGAAGCATTAGTGTGTTATTTACAGATTATTATTATTATTAAATAATAGTGATTAATGTTCTTATTCATCGTTTCTGCTTTATCTACAGAATCAGAATTCTGTTCACTCAAGCGTATATTCATATAATTCGTCAAAAAGTGAACAAGCAAGGATTTTAATTAAAAGATAAATGTATCAAATTTTATTCATTATTTTTCGTGATTGAATCATTCTCCACTTATTATTGTTAAAGAAAAGTAATTATATGAACAATAATGAATGACAATAACAATTGAATGAGAAGTAAGGATAAAATAATATGTAACACAGAAATAATTATCAATGCAGTCTTCTGTCGGTGACTATCAGTTTTATTCCTCTGACTAATACTGATTCTCATTACTTGGGTATATTTTGACAAATCTCTACATTGATTCTAAACGACTTGCTAAGTCTATGGAGAAGTGATGGATAGAAATATTGGCTACTCACTGGTGGAAAAATCAGGAGGTAAAAAACTACGAAGACAAGCATTTTAATCATAACAGAGTTTAAGTAATATGCCAGCATGTAAATGGAAGTTCATACGCTGTCATTATTTCTGTTTTTGTCTGGATATCTTCAGACTATTATTAATCATACATCTGCTAAACAATGGATTACCAAGAATCACCTATAATAATGGAATAATTAGTAGACCCTTAAAATTTTTCTTGAACCTATAGCTGAAAACTGACATTTCGATATTTAGTTAGATAAGAGTTTAAAAAGAAATGAAATTTTTAACTAATAAATGGATGTAAATTTTTAATGTAACGTTTTGTGAATTTTCGATTACTCATGTTCGTTCAACAGGTAATACGAGATGGAATAATTTAACACTGGATCAATATAGACGGTCGTATTCTAAAATGAATTTAAAGGGAAACTTAGTGTCGTTTTATCCTGATAAGACGGCTAGAAAACAAATATTTTGTAACCAATATTAGAACTACCAAATTTCAGACTCCAGTCTCTTAAGTAATATTCCCCAATATGGTCGTTATGAACACATGTTACTTAAACTTATGAAACCCAAGAAATCATATTTTCTGCAAATACTTACGTTTATCTAAGAGAGCATTTATTCTCGCAAACAAATCTTTATCCAATAGTGCTACATGTAATCAGTGGTTTTTTAGTTCGTTCTTCATAAAAGTATATTCGAAAGCCCGTAATTACAATAATTAGAATTCATCGTAAACAACCAATTTTAACAGTAAATTCTGATATTCACTCGCAAGCATAAAAAATGTATTTGCACAAATATAATTCTGGATTATTATTTTACAAAATATCTTGTAGTTCATTCAGTCTCCCCATTAATTTTTTTTCTGAATACGTCTATGGATTAGCTGTATTAGTATCATATACTTAACCAATAGAAAGTCCCGAAGGTAACAAATTAACGTTGTATTAATTCACTTTCTCTTTTTGGAACCTTTCCCATCCCTGCTCTGTTTTAATTGGCATTCTTATTATTCAGTTTGTAAGACATGAGTTCATTCTTAGTTTACAAATAAGTTTATTAATAGTAAGAGCTGATCTTTTATCACTTTCGTGTATATTAGTTATTTATAATCCACCAGATGAATTTCCTATGAGATAGAGTTTTATCAATTATTATTTCGTTAATTTCTTTTTACGGAATATAAATCCATCTCCAGCACGTAAAAAGCCAATTTTATATGAATTATTTTTACACTATATTACGGTCCTATTAAAAATTTATGTTTTTTATTTGATCGAAATTTCTTTAACGATGCACAGTTGTCTTTTGTCCAATTTCCACTTTGATATTTAAAAATGTTACATTCAATCGAAAATGTTTGAACATGCATAATTGACACATGTCAGCCTTAGTATATGATCTCGCCTTATTATAAAGCACAGTGAAAGAAAGTTAAGGGTAATTACTTAGTGCGTCCAGTGTATATTGTTTAACTATTAATCTGAGCACTTTAAATAGATAAAATATTTTTATTTAGGTCAACTGCTATGATGAAAATGAATTTTTCACTTTTAATAATGATTTACTCGCTTACATGATATTCCGATGTTTAACAAATGTTTTGGTCAGTTCACTAGTTCTTCTTCCAGACTTGATAAAATTTAATAATATCCATAAAAATACTTGTTGCATAAAATGAGTTAAATAAAACCAATCTATAAATTCCATTTTCCAATCGAAAATGCAATTGAAATCATTTTATTCAAAGCAGTATGAAATTAATCATATGGTCTAATAGACCACCCATGTATGAAAATTTATTGGAACTATACTTTCATGATTCACTGAAATATACATTTTTCAAAGTTTAAGTTTATTCTAACGGGCGATATTGATACAACATACAAAATACATTAAATATTATGTAAATATGGCTCAGATCTATTCAGATGTCTCCAGCGCAATTTTTCTGTAGTTGGCTTGCTGTTTTAGAATAGCAATGTTTTAATATTTAATGCTCTCTTTGTTTTTATACATACAGTAAGTTTAATTAGACATCGTCTTTATCCACTATATCGGATAAGTACTAGTCCTGAAATAACTAAAATTGTTCTACTTACTACATTATATATTTTAGAGTTGGATATGTTTAATCTGTCAAGAATATTTGGTAGAAATATAGCCATATTAGACAAATATTATAATAATTTATGATTATTTAATGGCCCTTAGATTTCAATTCATCAAAATATTATTTGTCCACTAAATTAAGACGTAGAGCAATTAATATTGTTTATCGGGAAAATATAAACATTTAGATTCTGTGGTTTTTCTGGACTAAACACAGAGGATGCAAATAATTGTGAGCATATAATTCCAGTAAACCCATGTGATTGGATATAACAAGCCCCATTAGATTAAATATGTATACCAGTATATTGGATCACTGTACTCATTAAAATAAATGCGAAGGTATACATACTTGTTGATAACTTTGTGCATTTCATCATTAAAAATAACAGCATTGCGTTGCAAGAATAACTTAAGCAAGTAGTGAAAATCAAGACTATCAAATCGAAGCTCTTCATTTTTAACAAAAGGTGATGTGTTTAAAATTTCTAACATAAAACGTGAATGTGTTTAAAACTAGTAAGACTGAAAGGTGTGATACATAATTTTTCATCTAGTATATCCATTTTTTTAGTGAATGGAACATGATCATGATTGTGGTAGTATGGGATTTTTGTATCATTCTAACTTTTTAAAAATGTCAACAGACCAAATTTACTTGCCGAAGTATTTTTGGCTTATAATTGAGGGAATAACTAAGTCGACTGTTTGTGGCTAGACAACAGAGTAAAATTAATAAGTTCTGACTTTAATTCAGTTTTAAAAAATAGTCAAACATTTCATCCCTAGTGATTACTAAAATTGCTTTTCTAATGTACTTTAGAGACTACAGTTGAGGTATCTTATGGGTATTATTTATTTTATTATTTCTGTACATCTTTATAATGCAATCAAATCGTCTTGAAAGATGATTCACAAATTTTACGTTTTTTCTTAGTGAAATGACTCATTGAACAAACACAATTTTTTTAGCTGGTGCCAGTGATTTAGAGAGACTTTAAGTGTTCCAAGATTATTGGGAATACAAGGTACATAACTTGACACATCAAATTTTTGTTTGAGAAGCTACAGGTTTTCAAATTACTAAATTTATTTGTCATAATTTTAGGTAAAATCTCTCACTATCAGTAAAAATAATCACATGGAAGTGGAAGAAAATTTGATACTACTTACTACAATCAAGTGTAATTCTTACTTTGTTATTTCTATTTTCCAAGCCCTATAAATTGTTTCACCAGTTTTTAAATTTGCTCGACTTAGTAACTAAGCACAAGTAACTTTTACTGTCATTTTGCTTCAATCGATTTCCGGAATTTAAAATCCTGTTCGCACATATATGTAAGAATGATTTGAAATCGTGGTACTTAACGTTGTTCATGAAATGACTAACTATTATAAACATATAACAAGCTTCATTAATATCGAGATTTTTATTAATTTTTCACAAATATCGCTCAATTTCCTCTTTTATGAAGTCATTTTCATAATGTTTTGTAACAGCTTTACTTTGTAAATGTTTTATAAATATTGATTTTTGAAATGCTTTCCGTCTGTTATCTTCCATAGTTAATGATTACTTAAACCGAGTAATATTCTACTACTGGTATGGTCATTATTATACTCAAACAATTTCTGTTCGACAACAATATAGTTTGTCATTGGGCATAAATGTGAATGTAACTCGAAGCGAACATTCATTTGTATTATCTGTTGTATCATATATATATGTTAGTACCAACTCAGTGTTTAAAATTCTTTTTCATACTAATAAAAAGTTGGATATTTTAGAATATGAACTCATGGAATTTTTATGAGGATTAAATGTCAAGTCAAATAAAAAAGGAAACTTGATCAGAGAGTTTGTTTTCTCTTATGGTATGAAAAGTACTCGTCGACTGCATAAATATGTAATGGTCAAATGCGGCATTCCCTTCTATTATTTTTATCAGTTCAAAGGCACTGCCCGAATAATTTTCTGTCCACAATGACTTTTGCATTTGATGTTAGTAATGGTGACAAATTTTCCTTTAGCCCATCAGTTTTCTCAGGCTCAAAGATTTTCTTGATTGATATAACTGGAAAAGCTTTTGAAAGTAAGTAGTGCAAACTTTAAGGTATAGCTAGATATTTTGTTGTTACAGTAAATGGAAATACGTATTGTTTATTTTTTAATTAAGTATTATTAAGTAATTAAGGTTTTCTGTATCAGGCACTATAAATTCATATTCACCTTTTAGATAGTAATAATACTGTGTGACTCCGATTCATTTAATATTTAAATTGTAATTTGATATAGAAACATTCCATTCAATGTATGACTGTTTTTTTTCGTTTTTCCAGTTATCAGCCACCGTTGCTGACTCAGTACTGAAAACTACATTCAATGTAACGTTGGATAATTCATATTCATCTAATAAATGGTCTGATGAATCTGTGCCAGTAAAACTATGATGTAATACTACTATTCTCTCATATTTGCATTGTGTAGTCTTTTAAATAATTAGGAAATAAAAGAAACAAATTGAAACTTATTTATTCTAATTGATTTACGCGTCTGACTGATTCATACTTTAGATGCACGATACTAGAGACTACGTAAACACTAATAGTAAATAATTAAAGAATTAACCCAGTGATAAATTCATGTAAATTACTCATAGTCAAAAAACGAAATGAAGTTACGAAAGAAATACAACAATAATTTTAGTGTTCTCAACTTTCTAGAAAAATTTCTCAAGGATTTTAGTTTTCTTAATCATACAAGTAATTCTGAAATTAGATAACCGGTAAATTAGGTATACTGGTAATACATTTAAAACCGCATATTAAGTTGGGTAACCGATACTGTTTATTTCGCATTTAATGATTTGTCAGTAACTATGTTACTCTGAAACAGGCAGCCCAATTCTTGAAGCGAGTACTATGGCTTTGTGAAAATATGTAATTTAGTAAGGTTAAGTATGCTGAAAACAAGATCCCTTGCGGTTTATTAGTTTCACCAGTTATCTGAATCAAGATTTTCTTTATAATGTTTATTCCCAATATATATCGTCCTGAAATTCTTGTTAACTAATCAATCTTCTGAGAGGAATCGCTATCATTTCCTTCAAATACGCTTTTTTTATATACTCAGTTCTGTTCTGTTTTCAGCCTGATGAAATTCAAATTTGAATAAACATTCTTAATTTGGAGAATTTAGAAGATTCTCCTTCTCTGTTTCGGGATTGTTCGAGTGTTTCGGGATTCAATTTAGGTGTTTCTGTGTTAACGTAGAGTCCTATCTTTTGCTTCATAAACACCGCAAATGCCTTTTAAACAAACAGTACTGGTGGTCTTAGTACTTCCTGTTACTCGCTTACTGGATCAAATGGTTTAAATGCTCAAGATGTTAGGGTTGTTTGGACATTATCATTTTGCACTCTAGAACTAATTACAGACAATGTCAATTTGTTTATTGAAAGGGTAATATGCCGACAGATTCTGATTAAGAAAAATTTATAAACTTTCCAACAGTGGTAACAAATGGTCCCTGGATTTTTTACTAGATGCGAATTTTTATCATTCTGTTTGAATTCCAAAACACAAAACTTTTCACTGTGAGCTGATATTACTGTTTAACATGCTACGAGTTAGTGTTGAATCGTTGCTCATTTTGTTTGCTCGTAAGACTTCTTTTCTTGTAGTGGATTTTTGGTGTTTGCAGATAACAGTTAAAGTCAAAAGTCGGCAATGTACATTTACTGGTTGGATGCACCCATTCAGTCTTAAAATAATTAATTTCGTGGAGGAATGATTATCAATGACTTTTCTTCAAAAATTTATAAATTTGTATTTGAAAACCAAATTATCAATATTTGTGTGAACATTATCACAGTAATTTATGATGAAAAGATATAGTTTTGTTGGATAAATACTCAGGGAGAGGTTTATGAAAAGAAATATTTAATTGTTAGGGTTTAGACAGTGACTGACTCTGCAGTTATTTTTAATGTTAGAATAAAATTAATTTGATAGTAATGATAATCAAGGGATTTCTGAGGAAAAAATGATGACTTTTGTATACATATTATCTTATAGTAAAAGGTTTGGTAACGCTAGAGATATGTTAAGGAAAAGCTGTTTCATATAGTATCTCTGCGCATGAATTTGGCCCGTGACTACCATTGGCTGGGAATTGTACAATCCACGTTTAATTCAAACGTAAGTTTTAGGAAATAGTTGACTTAGTTTTATGGGTGCTATAAAAGGAAAAGCGGTAATCTGATAAGTACTGGAGAACAAATAATAAGAATAGTATATTGTCTTTTCGTAATTAATACAGATGAATGCTTTTCTGTAAGGTAGAGGTATACTTTATTGAATGACTTACATACCAGGCTTCGGGAGGACAGCTAGATGGATATTGATCAAATATGAAATTTAATTCTTCATAAGGAGATAATGGTCTGGAACTACAGTATGTAACAATAACATTCGCAGTTTTACCTTCTTAATCACACAATGACTTCATTGACTTCCTAGCACGTGTTATATTCTTAATTTTCTAGACAATAAATCAATAACGACGACGTATTTTATCCTGAAGAGCTTCATTTTTTTAAGGAATTCATTTTTAAACCATTGCCATTTGACCAATAAATAGAGGTTGATAGAAGACTTTGTCATCAAACATATTAATTTAAAAATAGTTATTTACTATCTACCATTCAAATGGAAAAAATAGTAAGCTACAAGTATTAAGGGAGTAAAATAATCGAACAGATCAATAACCTAGATATACTTTTTGATGTTCCAAAATAAAGAGAACCAAAATAATCAAACACCAACTAAAACTTTGTGACCTCAACTTGGTTATTCGATACGATCAGTGCGCTTTCTTCTTACCTTTTTATTTTCGTATTCTTATCTAATAAGTTTTATATTATTTTATAATTTAAAAAGAACTCAAGAGCTTCATAAGTTTAATGCTTTTCATAAGTTCCTAGTCCATTTACTAGTTCTTCTCTAACTGACAAAACATCTTTTTGTTTAAGGACAAATGAATATTAAAATATATGAATATTTGAATGAGGTGTTAACAACAGATGTGGTAACATTTTTCTCAATAAAATAAAAGTCGCCAACTAGATGCATTCCCTAAAAATTGAAATTTCTCGTACCTTAATTTGAATACCAACTAGAAATGGGAGACAAACTGTTAATTATAAAACTGTTAAGGTGATGGGTAAATCTACAAAAAGTAATGCAAATTGAACATAAAAGTTATTCCTGTTCCATTATATCTATATATCTAATAGCTCTCACATAAATCATCGAATAGCTAAATGACCTCAGTCTTAACATATGAACAGACAATTATGTAACATGATTATTCGTACTTTATAAATCCTGTATTTTTGACGTAGAATGTGGTACATAATAAAAGATTTATATTAATTTTACCACGGGGAAAGGAGATTGAACTAAATAATTTTTATGACAACCTACCAGTTTTGCAAATCTGGTAAATTGGGAGTTTCCCTTAGGTTTATGCAGAGCAACTGATAAACATTCCCTTTAAATCAAGATAATCCAGCATTTGCGTACTTAAACAATCACTTGTTGTCATACATTAACGTTCCAGCAAATTCCTAAGTCGGTAAATTCCGTGATCACATGGATTGATCTAAATTGCAAATCTTGTTAGTAAAAATGAATTACAGATTTTAAGGCAAATATGATCTTATAAAAGGATGATAGTTTACTTTTAGTTCCTAAGATAAACTACCTTTAAACTGCTTAGTATTCCAGTAATACTTAATTTTTTTTATCTAGCCATCGGTTACAAGCAAATCGTTTTTGCATTTAAATGTTGGTAACTAAGTTAATCTATATCCTGGGTACTTTATTTAGTGTGGCATGGTCAGGGATTAAAAATCACTCCCTTGATGCGTATTTGTTGTTTCCTATGACTCAAAAGTGTCATTTTAATTTTGTCCAACAGAACTACATTGGCTCACTGGTTGCAACTCAGTAACTTTTAGGTATATCAACCTGTACCTAAATGTTTTGGTAACTATGGTTTTCAATAAATGGATGGGTGATTAGGATTCATATCTCTGAGCCCTTGTTAATATATCCAAAATTAAAGATTTAATTTAAACTAGCTAATAGAAGGCCTCAAACTAAAACCAGTGATTCCCAATAACTTTCTCCCGACTGCCTAACATTTAAAGCTAACATAGAGAGTTCGCCATGTTTTTCATAGTTAAAATTCCATATCTTAAAATCCAAATAAAAAGCTTTCCGAACTCAAATTCATTAAGGAAAGATGAGTGAGAACGTGAGTTATTTGATTGAGATTCTGTAGCTCTTAAAAAGTATTCTCTAGAGTGTTATGATGATTTTTGACTTTGTTGAATGATTATTCAAAGTGTTTTAGAAGAAGCAAATGTTATTTTGAGTATGTAAAATGTCTGCATATAGAAATAGTTTAATCAAAATATACTGTGTTTGATTTAAGAAAACATTCTTGTTCGAAACTAAGTGAAGTAGATGGTTACCTTATTGTTAAATAGGAATAACCGAGTTTTTCATCATAGTGGATTTCTTCAAGTTTTACTGAAGATTATCGTGACTGTAGCTGCTAACTTGACATGGTGGTCTGGTTTGCCCATTCTGATGAATCAACCGACCTATATTATCTGAAACACATGTTGCTTTAGGTTCTATCATTTTAGGTAAGTAGGTTGAAGAACGTTAAGTCTAAAAGCAGAAACTTGAGGTCTGAGCGTGAAGTCGTACTGCTAACCTTATGGGGATGTGACTGCAGCATCTACAGCGATGCTGCCTTATCACAACGGAAGAAAGATGTTAGGAAAGGTCGACCCTAGAAATGCCACATGTCATTCCACAGATTTCCGTCTTCGGAGATAATGCCTTTTGAATTGCGGAGCTGGCGTATCAAAAACCTCCCAAAAAAGATCGTGCGCGGCCGACCTCAAGCAGTTGTTCCTTCTGGTCTGTGGTTACTCTCCCAGTTTCCTAGGGCAGTCACTAATTCTGGTCTCTTAAGAAGAAATATCCTTCCATGGTGTGAGCAACCAGGAAGTAACAACCGCCCCTCAGCACTCGAGATCATCCTGTTGGCGATCGAATCCCTCCCTCACCTCTTAATATTTCTTCCATCCCCACAACTAACCCTTATTTATCTTTGCCATCACGCGCCACCTATGCTAATGATTTGAGTTTACGAAATTTTATTCCTGGTTTCCTGAAACCACGCTCCAAACTATATATTGGAGCTTTTGATGTTCGAACCTTGTGTCAAATTGGAGAACAGGTTTCTTCAGTTAGGATTGTAGAATCTCGCGCCATCGATTTATTCTGCATCTTTGAAACGCGCACACAGGCTCCAAGCGCGGTCATTCATTTAACTTCATCTTGTCGACACAAAGAACCGGTACGACTTACTCTTTTAGCATCTGGAGACCCCACTGCTACTTCCGAGGCTTCGCTGATGCAGGTATAGCGTTAAGTTCTA